AGCTGATGCCAGGGGCTTAAGTGGAGAGCAAATGTTTTGAGAATGACGAGGGCAATGAATGTACAAATGTGCTTTACACAATTGATGTATGTATGGATTGCGATAACAGTTGTATGTGATCCTAATAAAATGATTTGAAAAAAAAGACTCTCATCCGGCCCGTGATGGTCCTGAATTCGGCTTCATTGCATGTGTTTCATGAGTCTGAAGAGGAATTTACAAGTTGGTATCAGACATATGGACTAATATGGGACTTATGGACATGATCTGGACAGGGTTGGGATGTTTTTTCAATATTCAATTGCTCTTGTATATAAAACTCTTTCTCATATACATATGAGTGTCTATTAATTTGTTTCTCTAGTCAAACCAGACTGACACAATCCTCCTTCCCTCATGAAGCTGTGTGTGTGTGTTTAGCTTAGATGACTTCTGGGAATATTTCACATCAAGAGTCTGAAGAACAACACAGAGCCATAATCTCAGGGACTCCACCTGTTGGCTAATCATATAAGGGGACTCCCCAACTTTGTGGAAAGATGCAATTAAAAGATAATGTAATTTTTCCACAAACTTTTTAAAGCCCCCTTATAGTGCCCCTTCAGAAATTGTAATTATTTATGGGACTAAAAAGCCTCATTTTTATCCCTTGGAGCAGCTTGTGGTTTCACAGTGCTACCTTCCTGTTAACAGTGCAGAGAGTAAGCCAATAGCCACTTCCTCCAGGGCCTCTTTGATTATAGCCCGACTGATAGAACCTCCATAGACATGTGTATAAAGACATTCTTGAAGAAAATACCAAAATGAAATTACAATTGAGGAAGGAGGAGTGCATTTGATCTAGAATCAGAAAATGACTGGAAATATAATTTATTTTTGTAATTACCCTAGAGCTAACGCTCCGGATAGCTCTTATGATTTAACTATGACTGACAGCAGAAATAAGACGACCACAGTCAACTATGTACGTGACACCTTGTCAAGCTCCCATGGCTGGATGGCTCTGCTCCTGGATCAAGAGACCTACACACTGCGATTCGAAACTCCACTGATCAGCAGATCTCTGCAGGTAACCTCAGGCATCCACTCAGTGCTGCATCCGACCCTCTAATGGTGCTTGCTGTCTGTCCTTTTGTGAAATGATGAGTTAGGTATTAGCATCTTCTGGTGCTGATAAGGAAGACTCTGCAGCAACAGTGTGGACAGATAAATGTAACCAGACTCTGAGAGTCAGTTACTTTTGTAGCTTGGGACTTTTAGAATTTGCTCACATCTCACTTTGGATGCAGAATGATGGCTCTTCCTGAAATTGTAATCTTATTGGTGCCAGGAAAAGCAGTTCCTAAGCTTTCTATAGAATTATTTCCTTAAATCAATTCAGCCCAAAGGGGAGGGTTTGAAATGCCTCCACCTCCCAGAAGAGGGCTTAACTATATAGGTGCATTTTTATTGTACATTGCACACTGCCACCTTGTGGTCAAATAGGGCCAGGGTGGCGTGGAAGGAGTCCTCCGAAGACATAGGGCAGCCAACTGGGCTAGATTGGCCATCAGGAAAATACACGCAAGCTGTGAAAAAAGAGCAACCTCAAACTTCTTTTCTTTCTCAACACATTTCTTTCTTCTCTTCTTTCAATGCACTTTCCCCCTCCAGGTCACGAGGGCAGTGCTGAAGGAGGCCGAGGCTGCTTTGGGTGGGCTGTCATTCAGAGCCTCTCAAAGCAGCATCTCTCTATTCTCTACTAACAACTTCCAGAGAGGCTGTGCACTCCACTTCCCTTTTCTTGAGGTTCCGTGAGAACATGCTGGGGGATTAGGGTGGAAGCAGAGGGGTGACGACGCTCGAGCTTGCTCCCTGGCCTTCTCTACTGCAGCTTTGGGATGCAGAGCAATTTACTGACCCTCTGTGGGCCTGTCTCCTCCTCTGTAACCTGGGACAATGATATGGCAGGGGGTCTTGTGATGATTGAACGACTCAAAGACAAACATGTGCGGAACGCTTTCACACAGAGCCCTAAGGGTCCTAAACGGACGATATGCCTGCCATCGCCTGCCTGCCGCTATCAGTTAGGGAGAAACAACGGACAGGAATTCCGGGGCTGGTTCGGTTTCCTCTAGCTCTGTGGCCCAGAACAAGTTCTTTCACATCTCCGGGCCTTGGTTTTCTGAGATGTTAATTGAGGTTGTGATGCCATCTTTCAGTCCTCCCAGCGCTCTCTGATTTTATAACTTTAATAATACAATGAATAATAATGTTCAAGTAGCTATTCCATTTCCCATGCTAAAAAAGTTGTCTGATTTCGAAGAGATTCCATCTGCATCCTCTCTAGCCCCCTCCCTCTTTTTGGGGGGGAGGGGTCGTCCTTACTGAATGAGTACTCTTGTTCTTTTCTTATTTTCAAAGTTCTACGCAACCTTTGACAACTTCGCTCCTGGGAATCACCTCTTGCTGGTGCACACAGACCTCCCGCCTTACCCGGACATCCTCATAAGCTGCGGGGGTCAAGAAGGCCGGTCCCTTTCTTCCCTTCCATCCCCTGCTCATAACCACAGCTGTGACTGGTTCTTCAATAGGCAATTGAGGCAACTCACCTATCTGGGTAAGTAGAATCGCGCGAGTGTCCTGCGGTTAGGTAGTCAGAAACCACTCTTTACTTCCCAACCTTGGTGCTATGACAAGGTGAGGGATGAATGGAAGGGGGCTGCTAGCAGTGTGCATGGTGAGGGGCATGGGCTCTGAAAGCAGGCTGCTTGCATTCACATCTCAACTCCAGCACCTAGGGGCGATGATCAGTTTGCTTTGCTTTAGGACTCTGTTGTGTTTGTGTCTGTACAGTGAAAGCACAGCTGCATGTGGGAAGACGGAGGGTTGGTTGTGGCCACAGATCCAAGGGAAAGCAGACGTAACAAGGTGTCACATACAGGGAGAGGCTGATAAGAAGGAAGATCTGGCCACACGTGTCTATAGAATGACAACTGGTCTTACCAGATCCTGGGCAACTTCCGTGGACATCACTCACTCGGCCAGTCCCACCCCTGCCACACCAGACGGGCCTACAAGGATTTAGAGGACTGGGAAATTGTCTTGATTCTCTTGCCCCTCTCAGGAGTTCCCTGCCATATGCTAACGTAATCTGATCTATAGTTCGCCTTGGGACTATTAAATTTCAGTAGCATTATCATGCTGAGCCTGGTGCTTCCCTGGTATTTTTTTAACAACCGGCCAAATGAATTGTTATGTGTCATCGAGGTACTGAATATGAAGATAGCATTCATACTTTACTTTTGGTTTGACCTACCCATGGCTGTAACCTAAGACTCTGAATAAAGGGGATGGGCGGAGGTCACTGAGCCGACCGATTTCCTACTGGCATCATCGACTTTAGCTTAGCGGTACAACTGTTCTCAGTCGTCTGTTACCATAGTTCTTTGGCCAGCTGCCCCCTTGGCAGAAAAAATAATACTCAGCACCTCCCTGGCAATTAAAAACCTTGGTACTCTAGCCCATGATCAAAGATTAAGTATAGTTAACTGTTTTTGCAGCCCCTTTGGATCATTCTAGCACCCCTTTGGGGGAGGGATCGCCCACTCTAGGAAACATTGATATAGATTATGGACTAACAGTTCCATTTCAAATTGTTTGTCTTCTATATAGCACATGCTTCTGAAAAGCCTGCTGTGTCCATTGGTCAGAAGGTCTTCACTAGTTAATTTGAATATTTAGATAAGCCAAGCAAGCCGGAGACAAGAAAATGTGTGACAGCAAAAGAGACAATTTTATGCATTTGATTCCTCTTTATTAGCATGATGCTGTTGTTAGGTGCCATCAAGTTGGTTCCAACCCATGGCGACCCTGTGTACAGCTGGACAAAATAGTGCCCAGTCCTGTGCCACCCTCACAGCTGGCTCTGTTTGAGCCCAGGGTTGCAGCAACTGTGCCAGTCCAGATCCTTAAGGTCCTTCAGCTTTGCTGTTGTTGTTGTTTTGCTGCCCTTTCCTTTTCCAGTACAGTTGATCGTAATATTGGACTGTGTCTGCACCCATCAGAGAAAATAAAACACTGCAGCCACAAGGGCTCCAGCTCATATATTCACAGGTTTCTTCCAAATCAAAAGCGTCTACACATGTCTCTGTGACTGGTGGAGGCGGCAGACAAGCTCTTTCAGTAATACCCTGTCTCAGTTTCATGAGAGTGCTTCAAAGGGGGAACAACGGTTCAGTGAAACAGGGTTTCTGTGGGGATCCAAAGAGCCACTTAAATTCAATAGTTTTGAAATTCCAAATGGATAATCTGGATAGATTTTCCCTAAGGACCCAGGATGATCACAGGATTTATTATGGAGTTTTAAGAAAAGTGTGAAGGCATTTGGTCAGAAAAAGGTCCAGAATTCTGCTCCGAGTTTTCCATCGATGCACCTGCTCATATTTCTTGCAGTTCATTGGACTAGAGGTCTAAGTTCAGAGTGTGGATGTAACGCGAGGCCCTTCTCCACCTATTTCAGCTTCTAGGAACCATCCATCCTGGGGCTTCCTGTGCTTGTAGGTTTATTTGCTGCCTTAGTCGTCCTATAGCCCTGTCTTCATCCTGTAGGCTCCAGCCTCTGTCTAATTTGATCTTTTCCCCCAAAAAACCATCCTATTGGGCGCTAATATAGATATCATATCATTCCATAGTTCAATCACGTCAAGGAATATTCAACAATTGCTATCACAATTAATGAACTCCTTGACATCAGCTCCTCTTTACCACCCGACAACCCCCAACTGTCCCTGCCAGGACCCCTTATTCTACTTGGTGTCTTTATAGACTCATCCATCTGGATTTCATATACTGAAAATCAGAAAACATGCAACAAAAATTCAAGAGGGTTATCCTGTCAATGACAAAATACATCTGAGACAACTCCAATATGAAACACACACACACACACACACACACACACAATGTTGAAATCTAGATCAGGCCTTATGTGCATCAGAGGGGGATCAACCTACAAGGTTTGAACCATTCAAGTCAGGTAATTTGCTCTTTTTACCATTCAGAAGGGACTAGGTTTAACACACCTGATGTGAAGAGTCCTGGTGGCCATGCACACTGACCACTGAGCTGCTGACCCAGAGGTTGGTGGTTTGACCCACCAGCTTCTCCAAGGTAGAAAGAGGAGACTGCGCTTCCCAAAGATGGACCGTCTTGGAAATCCTAAAGAACAGTTGGACTTTGTCCTGCAGGGTGACTGTGAGTCGGAATCATTTGATGGTTGTTTGTTCCCTTGATACGACAACAAAGAAAACACTGCTCTCAAAAGGGATCTTTTGCACCTCTATCCCAACACTATAAATGAGGGGGTGTAGGCGGGGCATGGGGACAGGAGACAGGATTGAATCCAGTATATTTCCAGTGTATATTTCGTGTTGTGTATAGCGCGCGTTTCATATTGATTAGAAAGTTACTTTCATGTAACTGCCTTTTCCTATCATGTGACTTCAAAGGTCTGCGCCTGGGACCATGTTCAGAAAACACACTTCCTCCAAGAAGAGAGCGTCCGTGAACACGTCGCTGTCTACATGGGGTAGTCCTGTGAAAACTTGGGGAGGGGGGCGAGTCCGGGGCCTGCGGTTGCTTTGGGGGAGCGTGCCAGACGTCCTCCCCAGGCGCGGCCTCTCCCCTCTGCCCCCTGGCTGGCCTTCCGTTTCTGGAGCACTGCTTGACTGGCAATGGGCTCCACTTCATTCCTTTGTTGACCACTTCTAAGCGGACCATCTTTTGTTTTGCTGTTTGTCTGCAACCTGACCACATCCCCCGGACAGGAGGCTGTAAAACATCCCAATTATCTTCATTTCCTCCATTGGCTGCCTCGGTGAGATTTGAGATGCCTAGCCCCTGGAGAATGGGAGCAACGAGGAGAACCCAGGCATTCTAGTTCCTGGCTCGGGGCTCTCCACTAGGGTGTGCTACCCACTCAGTAATCATTGGATCACTCACCAAGGGAGGGGGACAAAGATCTCTTTTGGCCCCTGCATTCCTCATCTCTACCAGGCGGGTTTTGTCTTTGTTCGCCAAATACTGTGATACCATGCAGGTTCATTGGGAAGCTCCCAGGCAGAGTTAGGACATGCACAGGGTTTAAACTAGTCGCTGGCGATGTTACCAGGGCCTGGCGGAGTCCTCAGTCCGTGCTTCAGTGACTCCATGAGCAGAATGAGACGAAGCCTGTCTACTTGTCTCTTGACATGATGGCCACCCCCCAGCCTCTAACCATCTTCAAGTGTAATTAGAACGCCATGCGACTTACTAAAAGCATTTTTGTTGGGCTCTTATCTTGAAGTTGTCTTCTACCCAGAAGATCAGCAATACTGTGATTGCTGTGTGACTAAAGTATACATGCCATCACCTTTCAGAAAGGGTGGTGCTCTACCTCTTTGTATTAGGTTTTATGGAATACCTGAGATCCTCCAAGACAGGATGTATATGACAGATGGTTCCCATGAATGCAATCTAATACCCTTTAAGCTGTTGTTATTCATTAACTATAATAGTATTATAATTGATATTATATTTATATAATATAGTATATAATTATATGTAGTATAATTATATGAGACTCTAATATAATTATAACCATGTCATATACAGTTATTATAGATAATGTTAATGCCACTAATTTCAGCATATCTCAGAAGGTGAGCGGTTGTGGTTGTCTTTCTAAAATCAGTGAGAACTCTGCCCAAGGAGCATACGTCATAAATCACAGCACATATACATAATTCATAATGTCTAATTTGTGTGGGAACCCAGGGTGCTCTGTACGGTGGCACTGTGGGTTAAGTGTTGGGCTGCCAGCCCCCAAATCATCAGTTCAAACCCACCGGCCAGGAGAAAGCTGATACTGTCTGCTCCATAAAGCTTTATAGTCTCAGTAACTCTTTGTAGGGTCACTATGAATTGGAATTGACTATATGGCAGGGGCTTGATTAGGTTACCTATGGATATCTCCAATAAATTGAATGAGAACTGGATGGGCTGGAACTCTGTGTAGGGTCACTATGAGTCAGAATCCACTGGATGGCAGTGCACATGGGGTTGGATTTCTGGCGATAGCTGATGAGCTAAACTCTTCTGAATGGCAGTTCTCAACTGCAGCCTCTCTGCCGTGCTTGGGAACGAGGATAACTACCACACAGCCTTCTTTGATATCTTCAGAGTCGGGCGCAAAACCAAAGGAGCCCACTGTCCTGTTGACATGATCGGATTCGCCAGCATCTCATGTTTCCCCAGCACAGTGCCACTTCCCCACTGCCTCTTTGCTTGCTGATTTTTTTCCATGGATGTTTCAGTTCATGGTGAACTATTTTTATTTTTTAGTTACATTAACGCTATGAAATAATTAGTCAGCTAATTAATCTGGTTTACAAGCTTTGTCGGATTCTTCAGCTGTCAGTCAGGCCTGGGCCTGAGGCCTACATTTAGTTTCAGCTCTCTCGCCCATGTGATTCCCGTTGCCATGGCTACTGGCTACATCTGCTGACACCCCACTCCCTATTTATTGCTTAATTAAGAATTTCACGCTCAGCCCTTATCTGCCTCTAAGAACAAGCGCAC